GTGTGTACACCACACTGCCACTGGCATGGAAATGCAGTGTTTGGCTAAAGGGGCCCCCTCTGTGTTCCCTCTGCCTCGGAGCAGGAGCCAAGGCGTTCTGGGCTGCGTTTCAAGAGCAATAAACTTCTCCTGCATTTCGGAGATGGCATTTGGAGGTATCAGCATGCTAAGCCTGGGAGGGGTCGGCTACATCGCTCTGCCGACACGACCCCGGGAGCTGCCACTGCCTCGTCTGCTCTGAGGGGATTCATTTCAGTGACGGGCCTTAAAATACCACGACTCTGACCCCCTCCACCACCGCTACCTCCTCCTGCTGCTGCTGTCTACGCTTCACTTGCCCCCAGACTGACAGCACGACAGAAACTCTCTCCCACATTATGCTTTTCCTTCCCCCTCACACTTGAGTCTACATGAATGAAATTTTACATTTTTTGAAAAATGTGTGTGGGTTATCTTGTTCACGCAGCAGCCTATGACACATTTTGGCTTCTATTATGTCAAGTTGTTATCGAGATTTGGCTACATCTACACTCAAACCTCAAAATTACACAGGTCAAAAAAGCAGCAGCATTCATCTTCTTCAGCCAAGAATCCTGTCAGCTCTGAACAAAGGTCCAGCTTCTTTGATGGCTTTTTATTATGTGTTGCTCGCTTCCTCCTCATCTGTTTCTTTCTCTGGCTCTCAGTGAGTTGGGTGAGACACAGACAATTACTGGGATCTTGTTGTTCGTTTACTCCCACAAGGCTGAAAGGCGGAGGTGATGAAGCAGCTGTTGGATGGCATGCTAAATGACACACAAACACAGCACTTAGATGCCTAAACAGCTCTGTATGAGACGTGTCACGAGGAAAGGTGGGGGGCTGCTTAACTTCACTGCTAATCAAGATGCCTCTGCCGTGTCTCTGGGGCTCCTGTTTGATACTTTCCTCCTGGYCATCTGAAGGGATTTGCCTGACTTGGTTCTCATTTGTTTGGAGAACAGCAGCTGAATGATGCAAACAGCAACTAGGTCACTTTCATTTTAAAAGCAGCCGATGGGTTTTTAGAAGCTCCATTAAAAAGATGTAGCGGGAATAKAATATGTATCTGTGTTCTGTAATGTAGTGTGCAAAATGTTGTACAATGCAAGGCATTGAAAATGGCTTCATTGCAAAAATCAACTAGATGAAGTGTTGTACCTCAAGCACACCGAYTTTACTGTAAATGACACCTATAACTGACAATTAAAAGCCCTTTTAGTCAAAGATTGCACATCAGACACTGATTAAAAAAGGAAAAATCTTATTTGATTATTGTTGTTGGCAGACAATAAATGGCTGAAAAATCAAAACCAATTTAYGGCTTTTAAAATCATTAATTTAAGAAGGCTACAACATGTTTTTAATAAGAGAGGACATTTTAAACAAAAAACTTTTTTGCAAATCTCTTTTTCAAATATTTATACACACACACACACCAAACCACACACAGGCATACAGAAAAGACTGCGTGCCAGCCACTTCTCACAATGTGTTATTATTTCACCTATGACTCATACTATGTAGTATAGTACAGTATGTCTCAAAAGATGTCAGCTGAATAACAAACGCTTTCTGATGTTGCTGAAAGCCATGCACTGATCTCAACTATAAATCAATTATTAACACAAAGTTCCACACATCACAGTCTACACTGATGAAAACATTAATTTATCACAATCATCTTAACAAGGGCTAATGTTAGCAACTGTTATATGGTTTAGGATATTGTATATTTTCACATTTTTCATTAACAAGTGAGTGTGTTTATATGGTGGRAAGGAGGATTTAACATGAATCTTTAAAATAACTCCCACTAGGGGTGGGGGGTTGAAGTCTTTTTGGATGAATCATGATGCAGACATGAATGATTTTCTGTCCGTATAAAAATACCAAATCTCTATCATTTTTAAATGGTAATATTTGGAGGAATGGAGAAAAGCCAAAAGGTGGAAGACTGAAGTGCTGTGCCCTGACTATTTATAGTGTGCACATGACAGGAGGAGGAGGCTGATGGTCATTAAACGAAACCTTCTACATTAAAATATGGTATTTGAAAGTTTTTTTGGCTTCAGTGAAGTTAAAGGGGAAAATGATGTTACAATAAGAGAGTTAAACAGTATGAGAAGTGTCCTCATTTCCACTTGAAGGAGAAGAGAAAACAGCTGGTRACAGCTGCTGCTGTTAACCAGTGAACCACTGAGCGAGGAACRTTAGTAAGAACAAAATATTTTTATGTCAAACTAATCCAGCTATTACTGGACTGTAGAAAAGGAATAAGTCATGGGGACACTGAAGARAGCAGGTAACGTGACTCTAATGTGATGTTAGTGTAAATACTGTTTAAACTATAATAACACTATAACCCTCTGAATTGTGATTAAATTAAATGGCAAGGCGCCATAAGTTTCCTATCCTCAATCGATGCAATAACCCTCTTCTCTCGACTGTTCATTGGGATGTAAAATGGTAGTTTTTTGTTGATGTATATTTTGTCACATTTATGTTTGTATTTAGATAAATTGGCAGATATAAGATTCTTTTCTTCTTTCTGCTCCTTTTCATTTAATGATATTGTGCTTTTTTAAATATTGTTTGTRTCATGGACTGATTATTTATATCTGTTTCCCCTTGACACTGAATTCTGCTGACGCGTCCAGTAGCAAGCGTGCAGAACTTCCTGATTAAGTTCTGTTTGTTTGTTGCTCACAATTAAATCATATTTGATTATCATATACGCAGACTTTTCTGGTATTATTCCAACGTGTTTCTGCTTTTGCGACCACAGTTTGTTTTTTGTTGTTTAAATGAAATAAATTTTTATAAAAAAAGGACATTGTAAGTTCACACAAGCATGCCTTATTAATTGTATTAGTTGGAGAATCAAGCTAAATTATTTCTTAATTTTTCTCCTGTCCACTGCAGTAATGTGGAGGAGTAGGCATGCATTTTGGCAGTAGAAGTGTAGCTCAGCTGTGACCCTGCTTTTTTCGCTTTGTAATCTTTTTCAAATTAAACAGTGGCACAGAAACAAACACAAGGTCAGTGAACTTTCTCTGGAAGTTGTGCTGAAGTAAACATCTCTGAAAAACACCATCGGTTGGCAAATCACTTGGTAAATTACAATCACYTTGTGGTAGTATTAGCAGCTTGGTACGAGGCGACAGTGGAACAGAGACTGATGCTTTCCAAAACATCAGTCTTTTTATAACGTAAGCTTTTATAAGTATTATTATTGCGGTTTTGTGAAGCTAAATTAAAGCATACTTTAGAAACATCCTTAAACAAATGGTAAATGGTCCACACACCATTTTAACTTCTATATTTTTTTATCAATCCCCCATTATGCACAGCATGTGAGTAAAATTTAAAGGTTGTAAGTAATTTTATATTTGCAATAACCTTTTGTGTTTAATACAAAGTAAATACAAAAGCACAGATAGAACCGTTTTAACCATTTTCTCCCCTCAACGTAAAAAAAAACTGCCTTCAAAGAGACTGCACTTGTAATCTTACACTTCTGGTCTCTAAAGCTCAGACAGCCATAACAACCTGTGCGCTACACCTGCAGAGTCCCCCCCCCCCACTCCCCCTCACTCGCAGACACCCCCACTTTTTCTCCCCACCACACCACTTTAAAACCACTCAAATGCACCCACCGTCCTCCTCCCCCACTGAGCCAGACAGAGCAGAATCACAGGAAAACAGATCCACCAGACCAAACCACTACCTCTTTCAGCCAAAATACCAGCTTTGAGAGAGAGTGAGAGGGAGGGAGGGAGAGTGCAGGCAGAGGACAGACTTGGTTGGGGGAAGAGGGAGGGGGGGGGCAGGGCAGAAGGGAAGGCTCAATCACTCTGTGGGAGGCAGAGAACGAGGGAACACAACATAGTACTGGTGTTGGCTCCGAGCCATGTTTGTGTCACTAACAGAAGTGGCCTTGTCTACCCCAACCCAGCCCTCCACCATGCACTCACTCGCTCCCAGTTTGCCTGGAAACAGAGTCAAGGGGTGACTGGCTGGATGCTTGGTAACAGAAAAGAGCTGCAATACAGAGAACAGGCGAGAATCAAACACAGCTCAGAGTGGGAGCAAAAATCAAAAAAGGAGTGGGGGTAGATTCACTCAGTGGCAGGGACTGTGTTTTGGGAATGTTGATGAGGCAGGGAGCTTTTTTTCCTCTCCCCCCTCCTATTTGGTTCCTCAAAGTGAACCAACAAGCAGCCTTGTGGATGTGTGGGCGATTTGTACTCAGCATGCCCGCAGAGCGAGTGAGCGCGAGACGCTTTGAAGATTCAGTGTTTGCATTATTTCACATGCACAACAGAAAAAAGGAGGGAGTTGTTCAGATCCAGAAGAACCTGATAATGATTCTGATACATCTTAAAATTTAATCAGCTCAATGTGGTTTCTATCAAAGGTTGGGAAACTGAGTGCCTAAGATTTCACTTGGATTGCACTGCAGGAAATGAGCCAACTCTATTCCCAACTGGCAGGTTTAGAGAGAGGAAAAAAAGTGCTTTGTTATGAGGCATGATGTTTTTGAGCAGATATCTCTGTGCAACAAACTCTCGTCTGCCGAGTGCCCAAGCAGGAGAAGAAAAAAAAAAAAAACCAACAACAAATCAAGGCCACCTAAGAACTGACTGCCAACTACTATTCGTCTTGGCAATATACTGCAGCATGTGTGCTGTTAAAGCATAAATTGGAACTACCACCATTTCCTCAGGCAATCTGGGCGTAACAAATTATATTTTAGGAGGCAAAATGTATAGTAATGACAGCAAGATGGTAATTTAACAAAGAAGTGGCTTAGCTAATTCTTACAAAAACAATACTTGTGTGTRTCCTGAGCACACTGCACAAAAACGAAACACCTAAATTTAGGATTTCCTTTTTTCCTCCTGTGCCAAAAAAACAGAAAACATGTATTTCACAAGGAAGAGTTTTTCTAAACACTTTGTTAAAACCACTTCACTTACCGTCTTCAGTTTCTTGCCACACGATGCCTTCCAGATTAACACTGGTACCGGGCTCGCACGGACCCAGGCACTCAGGTTCTGTTGCCAGGGCTACATCGGACGTGTTCACCGCCACCGAGCGTGTGCGCACCATTATCTGCTCACATGGTGAGGCTATTTCACTGTTGCTGACCGTGGCCAGGAGGTGGAGGGGAGGAGGAGCTGGCGTGGAGACGGGAGATTCCATCTGTGAAGGAAGAAGGGGTTGAGAGAAAAAGAAACACGTGAGACACTTTAAAACTTCTTTCTAATCACATTGGATGTGCAATAATGGAAAGCGAACGAAGTGGGCAACGCATGAGACATTCTTGTTTCAGTGGCCCTTGAAAGCATTCCTTCACAGAGGAAAGGGCGATGCATCTGTAAGTGCTGCAGTGTACCACTCAACCTTTCTCCTCAATCTAAGAGGTGATTAGCAGGCAGAAAGGGAATGTGATGTGCCTTAACTGCCTCTGTGGAAGGACAGAATTAGAAATGCAGGCTAGAGCAAACAACCCCCTCCCCCCCAGCTTTCCACCCTAGCATGCAGCGGAGCGAGATCCGTGACACCAAATCATCTCACAGACTGATCGCTCATTAATTCCCTCAATTAGAAAGCTAGTTGTGGTAAGGGAGTGGGCCGCTGAGGGTCAGTAATTGATTTCACCTGTTCTGACACGCTGTGACAGCAATGAGGAGACAGTGGGCCTATGTGGAAAAAGAAAATGAAAAGGACAGCRAAGCTGAGATACAATGAGAGCAACTGAGGGAAAGCACAAGAGGGAACCAGAGGAAGATAGATGTGTAGGTGGAAGAGAGACATGTAGAGGAAGACTGATAGTGATTTTAGGACTGCTATAACACCAGACTTAGTACGCTTTAGTGAAGGCAGTCGACATTAAAGTGCTCCAAATCATTAACACTGAACTGCAGGAGGAATGCCATGCTGAAGCCAACAAAGCACATTTATTAATTGGGCATAAACCGCTCAGTAATCTGGATTGTGCTGCCAAAGCTGGATCCAATTCTGCTTAGAAGACAAAACAACAACTGACAAATTGGATTATAACCCTCCACAGCCTTTAAATGTTGGTCCAATATATTTACTGATCCAAACTGTGCATGATGTGATGAACTAAAAAAACAATATTGGTGCAAATATTAAAGAGTGGTTCATGTAGGCAAGTTCTGATAGAAAGAAATCTCTCTGAACTAAGTGGTCTAGTATAAAACGTACACCGATCATTCTCAGATTATGAATCATGTTTGCCTTTAATATGCCGAACCAGTGGGGCCTCATCCCTAATCATTGAGCTGTGCTTCTAAACAAATCTATAATTTATTGCACTGAAATAAAACATTTTATTAGGCTTCAACCATAAAAGCCAGGAAAAACTGCAGTAGCTCTAAAAGAGAATAAAATGATTCAATTCTTACTACTGCATTTTATTTGTATTTTCAGCATTGTATTGGTATGATATTTTTACATGAATGCAGTTTTTTATTGATATCATCATTAAGGTGGAAGAGGAAGATTAGCCCTTTTCTTCATTATTTAAGGTATACTTACAGAAATTATGTTGTAAAAACAATCTAATTGGTTGAATTAATCACAGTATGAAAGGTATTAACTCTTGAAGAAATGTACATTTTGAAAACCAAACAGTTTCAATAAAAGTCGATATGAATTAGCTCATGACTTGTCACCACTAAGCTTTACGTTTCATGCACACCCAGTGTCAGTGTGGATGGCCAATTTATTCTGGTGCTTAGAGAAAGAATAATTTATTACATGTATGTGCAAGAGTTGGGGCTAACGACATCGTAATCAGTGTGTGTCAGTTCTGATGCGTGACTTGTTGAAGCTGCCGGCTGGATGAGTGAATGAAACAGAACAGGTAATCACATGAGCTGTCACCACCCACTGCTCTGTTTCTTATGGAGGCACAAAGACTACAACAAAACCTCCATCAGACTGACAGCAAACAGTGAAACGACCAAACAGGTTGATAAGGAGGCTTCTGTAAATGGGCACAACTGCATTTGTACATTTGGGTATTATTAGAAACTAAAGAGAGATGACCTAAAAATTAAGGTGGTTTTATTGAAGAATCGGTCAACATCTGAACAATGTTACATTTTCTTTTGAAAAGACCCAAAACCCAACTTGGTACAACTTCCTGGTTGCTTTTATATCTCCTCCACACATCACAAACTCTGTCTTTCTACTTTCAACTAACAAACACACTCATACAAGAATGTTCTAAGGCCAGACGGCACACATTCCCTTTGCACAACCTCGGCTAGCTTACAATCGTCATCCTTCTCAAATGTTATTCTCAACACCTTAGAGTATAAAGCATGACATTTTGACATTCCACTTTAGTAGTTTGATAATTTCTTCCATTTTAGAGTCAGAAGCCTTTAAATCATTGTAACTCTTGTTTGTCTTCTTGACAAACAAAAGTTTGATTGTCTCCATTAAAACTCTGAATGTGCATCAATTAAAATGTCTTAAATGAACTATTTCCATTATTTAACTTAAGAGTTTCATAGTATTATCTTCCTTTTTCCGAATTAAGTCAAACCATGTTTGAATAAGCTTAGTTTATCCATGTAATTTGTTTTACAAAATATGAGAGGGAAAGAAAGAAAGAAATTCAAGTGCAAGAATTACAATGAGAAATCAACAAAGACCTAATAAAAAATGTAATGGCTTAAATTAATTACTTACAGAGTTAATAGCAGAATGGCAAAATAAGTGGGAGCAGTCTGCAATGTGCATAAACGAGGCTGCTGTACAGTTAGGCTGCTGTCAATAAGTGAGTGAATAAAAGAACTTTCACCCTGGGGCCTGAGTGTACACAAATACAGTCAAACACTTGACGTTTTGTTAGAGGTTTTGAAAAACCACAAGCAACTGAACTACAGAACTCGTAAGATTACAAGGCTTTACCCAATGCTCCATTTGATGCCAGATTCCAAAATTTCTTGCCCTCCTTGAAATACTTGACAGAAAGATTTTGAAAACCACAACGCCAGAGTGTCACGCAATCTTTTTCTAAACTCAAACCTCATGCCAACTCCCTGAGAAAGCCACACTGGGAAAAATAATGTTTGACTGACTGCGAAAGAAAAAATTCTGTGAATCTAAGACTGAAGTTATGTTAAACTAGAGTGCTGACTGAGTAGAAACTCTGGATTACTGATAAAAAATTAAACAGTGGCAAATAAAGGCACACTGTGTTTTTAATTGGACACATTTACTCCAGTTTAATTTTAATTTTTTTTACAATTTCTTTAAAAAACAGCTTGTGAGATTATTGGTTTAAAGTATCACACTAAAATATTTGTCTTGATTGTACTCATTAGGAAACTATGCAAATTATGTTGCAAGCCTTTAATTATACTTTAGTCATAAGGTAAAAGAAGCCATAGCCAAAGGTGCAAAGTTGTACACATGCCTGAGCAACTCTTATCAATGTTCCTTTCCCATGTCAATAAAAGGTATTACATCACAGCTGCTCTTGCATTTTTTAGTGATTTTAACCAAGAGCATAGTGCTGAATAGCAGGTATTTCTGAGCCATCATGCATTTTATACTTAACTGCTCAACAAAACAGAAGAAAAGCAAATGTGAACCATCTGTGAATTCAGTGCAATAAAACCCAGTATATAATATGAAATGACTGCTGTATTGTTTTCATCTGGCATGCTCTTAAATCAATCAAAGACCTGTTTTGATTTGCTTTAGAGGTGAAACTGTTCCAAAACACAAACACCTGGATGAAGATAAACTTTGATATTCAATAACATTTTTTATATGACAGGCATGGTTGAAAAACATCCATCCATCCATCCATTTTCTTCCGCCTATCCGGGGTCGGGTCGCGGGGGGCAGTAGCTTCAGAAGGGAGGCCCAGACCTCCCTCTCCCCAGCCACTTCTTCCAGCTCCTCCGGGGGAACTCCAAGGTGTTCCCAGGCCAGCCGAGAGACATAGTCCCTCCAGCTGTGTGAAGCTGACACCCCACCCACACAAAAAATAAAAACTAGTAAGCGGATTGGTTAGTGCTTCGTTTGTGCAGGTTTGTGCAGTTAAAATGAGCGTTTGTGCTGTTATAGTTTTTGAGATATTAA